TTATCTAAAACAAATAGTTCGTTATTAAATATTGACTATTTTATTAACTCAGAGCATCTGGGAAAACACTTATGATTAGGTTAATTTATGTTATATTTTCCCCTCAACTTGTAAAAGATTAATCAACCATTTTATGGTCTAATTTAGGTGCCTAATTAAAAACAGAGTTCAACACATGCTACACTGTCTTGCTAATAAATCTTGACAGCTTTGTAACATGATGGTTTGTATTTCAAATTGTTGCATATAAATGCAGATTTTTGATCTTCACCCAGCAGCTTGGAAGTGAGTTACATACTTGGTTTAAACTCCAAGACTGAGGAAGTGCAATTACTTCAAAACAGATTATCCTCAATCAGATTTTATCTTAAATTTCCCTCAATGAAGACAGAAAGTTTTTGCCACCAGGTTTTTAGAAAGAGACTAGGAAAATACAGGGAAATTTTGTTTTCTCAGCATCTGTTGAATTAAAAATGTAGGAAAATTGCTATTTTCAGCTATTAGCCTTCATGAGAGATTTCTGAAGTTATTGGGTTTTAGAATATCATTCTAAAGGAATCTCCTCAAAGTGTTAGCTATAATTGTCTTTTGGTTAATCAGCACAAGTTAATTATTCAGTCTTATTTGGAGGCAGTCTTCTTTTTTTAAATGAATAAATTAATTCCAAGAAGTTCTGGAACATGTTATTTAACCCTATGTCCTCCCACACCTCCCAGCCTTAAAAAGGGCAAATGCCAGAGGATAAATCAGAAAGGACATTCACTATGTTTTCTCAGTCTCTATACTTGAGGGATAATTTTGTCATTTTAATGTTTCCTGTCTTAACAGTCCTATGCAGAGAAATACTCACACCACTCACAGTGGTAGTGTGAATCCTCACTTTGGTTGCAAACCAACTTAAGATAGAGCCTGTTTTGGAGTTGATATTCTTTTAAAGTGAATGACAAAGTGTACAATCCACACCGAGATCACTGAAGGCACATCAGAAAACTGTCAAAACTTTTTGAAAGCAAGCCCAGTTTTGGAGTCATGACATACGACAAATATCATGTTTTGGTATTTGGGAGGGAGCACAGCACAGAAGGATCTCTGGAGCAGAACTACCTGGGTTGGTATATTAGCTTTGTCATTTTACAGCTGTGAGATCTTAGGCAAGTTGCTTAACCTCTCTGTGCCTGTGTTTCCTCATCTGTAAAAGTACCTACTTCATAGAACTGTAATGAGGATTAGATTTGCTAATCCTGTAAAACTTGAAACAGTGCCTGGAACATAGGGAAAACATTCAGTAAGAGTTAGCTACCAACATTAAAGCCACACACACACACACACACACACACACACACACACACACACACTACTTTGTTTAATGTTGGCGACAGCATTGAAGTGTCAGCTCATTTGGTACAACCAAAAGTGGAGAGGGGAGTCAGTCAAGGTGGGGAAGGAGTCTCTGCCACTATAAAATTTAAGGCATATTTCTGTACAACAAATAATTACACAATATTTGGCTAGCTTATTTCCCAAACTGAGGTCATTAAAACTTTTAAAAATCTACCAGAATTTAAGTCAAATCACAGAGACACTTTAAAAATTACATCTTTAATTTTTGACCATTCAAAGTTTAAATCAATATTCCAAGCCTAAATGTTCAGGGTGGGTGCTTCACATAGGTGAAGTTCTGGACCACAGCCCCATATTTCTCGAACACCATCACACCCATGGAACAGAAGGACAGATGCACGGGGTAGCCTGATGAGCCGCTCAGTGGAGTCCGCATCAGCACCTGCTAGGTCTGGGAGGCCTGACTGAAAGAGCTGGATAATGAACTGGAAAGGTAAACCCAGACTAAAACAAACTCGGGTTCCAGCGCAAATGGACAGCTGGTCCTGGCGCTTTTGGTTTTTGCAGCGGTTAAGGAGGCAGAAAGGCTCCGGCGGCGGTGGCGGGGTCAGCTCTGCGCCTCCGCCTCAGCGAGTGCCACCCACCATGACCCCTCCTGATCGGGCTGATGGTGTCTCCTTATGCCAAGTAGAAGGAACTGCAGTCAAATTCCCAGACGCCATGCAAATCGGTCCAGGCCCTGGGCTACTGGTTAGGCCACTGGCAGCAGGGCTGTGTAGCAACCGATTAAACCTATTAACGACTGGCAGCCACAGCCACGACCGCGTTCTCCAACAGATGATGATGCCACCTTGTTCTCCAACAGACGGTAATGCGATCCTGGGACTCCACTATTCATGCTCACAGTTTTTGGTTTCAAATGCCTTCAAAATGTCTCCCCTCTCTCATATTTTCTAGTTTTGAGAACTTGTTTTAATCACGCTTCTGAATTGCAGGTCTCTCTCTCTGCTAATTATTACTTATGCTCTCCTCCAATTGGTCGGGGACTGTGCAGACCTGGCGGAGGTGCAATGGAGCACACCTCCGGCGAGAAGCTGGGCTTGGCGGGGCCGAGGGAACCCAGCGAGGGCGAAGGGTGCGCTCTGGGAGCCGGATTGTAGGTAAGCGCTCGGGCTCAGGCGTCTCCTCCCGGCGGGTCTGTTTCAAGTTTAAAAGGACGCCTTCAAAATAATTGTGAAGTCTATACCTTTGCCCAGACATCCATTAATTATTCTCTGTTAATTAAAAATGTTAATTAAGCAGAAAGCATTCAAAGCATTTTTTTTCCTTAAAAATATCCACTAACTCTGCGGCTGCGGCAGGCGCTGCTGGGGCAGTGTAGGAAGGAGTTCGGCGTTTGGGGCCAGTTGCGGCACTTGCAGTTTGCTCCTGTGGCCGCCGGGTCGCCGCCGCGGACCCTGTGCCTCCTGGTCCGGGCAGTCCAGGTCCTTAGTTCAGGGAGATGCCTCGGAAGGGGGATGAACCTCCCGCCTCCCGCGGCCCGGCCGAGCCCCCGCGGCCCCAAGGTCCAGCCGCCGGGCGTGGGTCCTGCCAGAAGCTCCACCGCGGCCCTCCCCTCTGCAGGCGCGGCGAGGGTGTCCAGGGCGACTTCGTTCTTTAGTCAGCTTTTAGAGTCAATCAAAGGGAACGTGGCAGGTAGAGGGCAGCCGCCTAAGACATCGTGTGAATCTTCCTGTGGGGATTTCCACAGCTTGCCCCAGGTGCTTCTAAACCGCCTGACATTAAGGGTTCACATCCTTTCCTGCCAGTTCCTCCCAACCCGGCCCCACGTGTGTCTGATCTCGGAAAACCCCAGGCTGCCTCCCGGCTCTGGCGGGTTCCACCTGGAAGGGCGCTGGTTGTAGCCTGCCACCCCAGAATCACCGTCCCAGGAGGAGGGGGAGTGGTGGTGGTAGAAGTAACAATACAATGGATGACAACAGCTAACAATCAGAGAGGCCCCCACGAGCCTGCCAGGCACCCGACTGCACCCGCGCATTCCCTTTTCCCAGCCGGTCAAGAACCTCGTTATTCCCACTGCACAGATGAGAGCAAGGAGGCTCTCAGATGAGAGCACGCGACCGCCCAGGACGAGAATCAAGGCGTCGGGCTCCAGAGCCCCCATTCTTCACCACCAGTGTCCCATCAATGGGACACGGCCCGCGGACGGTGGGAAGGGTGACTGTCACGGCTGGGTAAACCCGGAGACTTGGGCAACTCCTGACAATAATAGAAACATTAAGGACAAAGGGGAAAGGGGAGGGCGAGGCTGGGAAGGGAGCGGCCGTAATCCGCGGGGTCAGCCCCCTTTCACTCTCCATCCCATCCGGGTCCTGAAAGTGGGGTGGGGACAGAGAGAGGGGTTCAGCTTGCTTTCCCCCTTTTGTTTTCCGAAGTCCCTAGCCTCTTTGAAGCTAATTGGGCCTGGAGGGGTGCCGAGGACTCTAGGGAGTCTTGCTGGCCTGGGTCGGGGGTGGTGGCCAGAGACGAGGGTTGGGGGAGGGCCGGTACCTGGGTCCTGGTCCGAGACCGGGTTTCCGGGGGCCGGAGTCTGGACCACCCTGCACACTGGCCCTCACCCGAAGCCCGGTCAACCTAACAGCTCACTCCAAAGCCCAGTAGCTGCGGAAAGCGGTGGGCAGAGGTCGTGACTATAACACCGGGGCCAATGTCCCTTTGGAACCTGACCCGCAACCCGACACGAGAACAGAATTTACGCAAGCCACGACCTAGAAGCTTTCATTTCTCAGTCAATAGGGCCCGAATATTCTTTGCCCCCGACGCGTAAGGGGCCCGCGGAGACACGCGTCTTTGCTCTCGCTTTCCCAGCGCCCAGGCCGAGGAGGCGGAACCGGCGGGCAGTGCCCGGGGCGCTGTGGAGCCTTCAAAGCCGCGCGTCGCTCCCGCTGCTGCAGTGCGCGCCTTTGCCCGACAGGGACCAGCACCGCTCCACGCTCAGCGCACAGCCCGCCCGTCCGCCAGGCGCAGGCTCCGGGCCACCGGCCCAGGTCACCTTCCGAGCCCAGGCGGCTCCAGAGCGAAGCGGGTCTGACCCCCTTCGGGTTCCGGTAACAAGGCGGACTGTAACAGAAAGTTAACAGACTCTGCGGCCTCGGCGGGACGCCGTCGCCCCCATCCCTCTGCCCATCTGGGGAGCAGAAGCGGCTCTAGAAGTTGCTTTAGGGAGGAGACCGCGACCCGAGAGGCGCAAAACACTCCTCCCAGCGTCCGGGCTCCGCGAGGAAAAACGCAAAAACGAGCAATAAAATACGATTCTCATGGGACACCGCCATGCTTAGAGGGTCGCCCGTTTCCGCTGAGTGCGGTCTTAGTCTCTGCCCCGCTTTTCTGCGGCGAGGTCGCCTGATTAATTATAGGGCACCATAGACCACGGAGCCGCCAGCGCTCCGGGAGAAGTTTCTGTGTGTTGTGGGGAGAACAGAGCTGGCCTCCCCCGGCCCGCGCCCGGAGGGATGCGCTGCGCCGCCGTCCCTCACCGCCCATTCCCGCCCCGGTGTTCCGAAGCTGTGCCCCTGTCGTTTTCCCATCTTATGCCATGTGTCCCTTCGCTCACGGTGGGGATCCCGGCTGGCGCCCCGGCCACCGGCGGGGAAACTCACCGGTACCAGGCGAGGCCCCTGTCATAGCTGCGGTCGAAGAAGTGGGGCTCGGCGCCCACGGCGCGCACGTCGGGGTGCACCCGAAGGAACTCCAGCAGCGCCCGCGTGCCGCCCTTCTTCACGCCGATGATGATGGCCTGCGGCAGCTGCTTGCTCCCAGACCCACTAAAAAAGCTGGAGATGGGGCTGGGGGAGTCCGGCGCCTCAGGACTCTGCTCCTCCTGATTCTCTGCGCCCTCGGCCATCTCCTTGCCCGCAGCCAGCGGAGTGGCGACCGGCCCCTGGAACGGCAGCCGGGGGAGCGTCCCGTCCGGAGCAGTGGCCAGGACTGGCGGATCGTGAGCGGCGCGGGACCCCGAGCCCAGCAGCAGCAGCCCGGGCGCGGCGGCGCACGAGCCGGCGCACGAGTACAGGAACATGTAGAGCCAGACGCAGAGCATGGCGAAGAGCAGCGCGAGCTTCCTCCTCACCGGCGGCGGGGACGGAGGCGGCTGCGGCAGGAGCCTGCCGGGGACATCGAGGCAGGATCGGCCGCCACTCAGGCGCTGCCCCATGCGCTGCCCGCAGGCGCGGCCAGGGACATGGCTCAGCACATGGCGCGGGTCCCGCCGGAGCAGTGAGCGCGGAAAGGGTCCCCCGGCCCGCTGGACGCCCGGGTGGCTTGCTTTATTGCCCCCGCGTGCCCGCGGCCGCCGCCGCTGCTGCTCTTCCCCAGGTGGCGGCGGCAGCTGTAGCGGCGGTGGCTCTTGACATGTTGCCCGGTCGGAGCTGCAACTGGAACGGAAAGTCGGGGCGGCGGTAACTGCTGGCGGAGGGGCTGCTCCTGTGGCACGACGGCCCGCTCAAGGCCAGAATGGTACACTCCCGCGTCCCGGCCACTCTAGATGGTGCGTACGGCCGCACGCCAGGGCTGCCTCCTCGCAGCCGTAAGAACTGAGCCTTGAGAGCAGCTCCGGCACTTCCCCGCAGAGGCTGCGGAGGAGAACTGCGCAGGAAGAGAGCGGGCCACCGAGGTGGAGTGGGCGGGCCTGCCCTTCCAGAGTGACAGGCTGCTCTGCCTACCAGGAACCCCGAGCTCCATGCAAATGTAGGCGCTTCGCCGAGCGCTCCGTAGCCAACCAGCTCCCGGGACGTGGGGGTGTGGAAAGGGTTCGGGGCGGTGTAGAGCGGGTGGGTGTCGCTATTGGCTGCGGGTCAAGGGGCGGTCCAGAGGGGCGGAGCCAGGGGTGGTGACAGGAGCAGATGGTGGGAAGAATGCTGCAGTGACCGAGAGCTGAGAGAGATCCTACCGCACTGAGTGGTGCGCTCCTGCACCCGCGCCTATTTCCGCACTCGCTCCCCAGGAGCCAGATGTAGTTGCCCAGATGTGGAGACCTGAGTCCTCATCCAGATATTTCGCAGGCAGGCTCGTGATGTGTACGTGTTGCCGAGTAGGGAGGGGTTGGAGGAGAGAGGGCAGGGCCAGAGGTGCTCTCAGCCCCCAACCAACCCACCCCAAGCCCGGGACTCAGAGAGGGGCCCTTCCGGGACAAGCACGGGAAGTTTGAGTGGAAAGCATGTTTGGAAATCGCCGTCAGCTTTTTCCCCTTGTCTTTCCTTCTTACTCCTTGCTAGGGATTGATCTCCCTTGGCCCGCCGGTTAACTGGAATCGGTGTAAACCGTCCTCAAGAAAACTCTTCTCCAGCCTCCCAAAGGGCCGGGGAAAGGCTGGGGAGTTGGAAGGAGAGAAGGAAGAAATTAACAGGGACATAAAAGTCTGCTAAAAAGTTTTCTGGCTGAAACAGGCGCGCGCGTGTGTGTCACGTGTAGGAAGCTTCATCTGGACATGAGTTTGTTGGTGACGTTAGGTTTGGGAAAATTCTCTATCTTCTCTTTTTCCTGAATAAATATTAAAACCAACATGCGCCTTCTTTTAGGAGACAGTTTGTTTTGCTGACCCGTGACACCGATTATTAGGTATTGTCTTTCTCCACCGATTTTTTTAATCAAACCTCAATTTGGAGCAAATTCATCACTGAGTTGCGCTTATTTAATAGCCAAAGTGCACTCGAAGCCGCCCTCGCCTATTTTCTTGGGCAAAATGACCCGCCTCGGGCAGGGGTGGGTCAGCTCGTCTGGCGAAGAACTGGAACCGCTCGCTGCGGGTAGCGCGGGCCTGGGGTGCCGCGCTCTGCCGAATTCCTGTCCCGGCGGCTGGAGTTAGGAAGCTCAGTGTCCTCGGGTTCATCCCGATCGTGTTCAGAAAGTTTTAGATGCCTGAAACCCGGCTTCTGCGGGGGCCGCGGGCCTCCAGAGCCCGCTGCGCGCGGTTCCGGGACACAGCGTTCCTTCCGACTCCGACCCCAGCGCGGCCCCAGGGGCTGAGTGTCGCCCAGGAGGTGACTCACCAGGAACCGCTGCCCGCGCTGCATTTCACGATCGACGCAGTGGAACCTACCTGAGCCCTGGTCCCTCTACTGCGCCGTCCGGGGCTAGCCGCCAGCAGCCGGCCCTGCGCACTCTCCCTTCCTGAGTAAATGTCCCCCAATGTCCCCGAGTCCCTGGAGCCCCATTCCGGGTCCGGTTCCCCTCCGTGGGGAGCCAGCTGAGAAAGCCAGTCTCACTTTAATCCTTCCAGTCCGAAAATGTGCCCGAATGACGACCAGGGCGGATTCAGACAACCCAGCGGCCACCACGGGACCCACGCGCCCCGGCTGTGCTGCGGGCGATCTCTTTGTAACTACCTTGAGCCCAAGACATTTTCCTACAAAACTGTTGAGGGGAAAATAATTTAGGTAGAGGATTTTCCCTCCCCCTTTTAAATTCTCAGGGAGAGAACTTCTTGCCAGCTTTTTTCCTTCTCTTACTGGGATGTTGTGTTTGTTCTTCGGAAGTGACTTATTCGTCCTTAATTTTTAGTTTAATCAATTTATTTATTATCGATTTATTTTAAACTTCTAAAACATGAGAACATACATATTTCTGAGCCCTAGCCCGACTCTATTTTGAAATGTGAGGGAGAAATGTGTCTCCGAAGGGTGCGTCTTCAAATTCATGCTCTTAAGGTGGAAATTCATGTTAGGTAGGTGTGTGTTCGGCTAATTGTAGCTCCCACGTGGCCAACTGCAGGCCTGACTGGGTGTGAATCTTACAGTGTTTTAAGGTTTTAAGGACTTTGATGATCTTAATTTAAAAAGAAAAAGAAAGCCCCGGTCCTGGGGGTAAGCAAAGTCCAGTAAGGGAGCTATTACAAATCGAGGCCACCGGGTATATTTAGCATTTCCTTTTTCCGGGGGTGAAGGGAAGGAGGGAGGGCGTGGAAGAAGAGATGTGGGCGTCGGAAATTGCCCTGAGTGCAACACTGAGCTGAGCGCCCCAGTGCTAAGTCACCGGCCCGGCCCACCGGGGGTTCGTTCCATCCCACTGCTAGGAACAACCGGGAGTTCGCGGTGCGGGCAACGCCGAGGGGCCTCCGCCGCCCAACGTCGGTCTGTCATCCGCAGCCTGGGCAGCCCCCGGGCGGGTTGGGAGGCCGCGCTGCGCTAGAGGGCCTGGCGGCCACTCCATGGTCTGGCGCTTTCGCCCACCTGGCTGGTCCTCCCATTGTTCCTGGGAGTCCCAGGCTGAGTCCCAAAATCCCCACGCGCGGTAGTCGCTCTGGGTCGGCCCTTGGCAAGCGCCTTGCCTGTCATCTTCCCATTCCGCAGATGCAGAAACCGAGGCTGTAAACCTGGACAGAGCTGGTGGCCTCCGCCCTTAATGCAGGTTCCTCCACTCTTGGAGCCTGCATCAGCAAATAACTACGACCAAAACCTACGGAAAGCTTTACCTCTGATAAACATTCAAAATGTTTGCACTAGGAAAATGGAGAAAGGAGAGAATTCAATTCCAGCACACCACCAGTTTTCTGTTTTATTTTGGTGTGTTTGTTTATTTGGGATTACCTAATGGGGTGCCCACCCAGGGCTCTAATCCCGTAGGCGGCCCGTCTCCTACTGGAAGGGAAGGTTCGCCTCAGGGTCCTGTCCTTCCCCGGCTCCCGAAGGTTCTGCCAACAACCCTTTGTATGACCCCAACCGAGTGGCCCTAAAATTTCACATCTGTAAAGTGGGGGACGTGATCCAAAAGACCCTGCAATATTTTCCGCCTGAAGTTTCTCCAAGGCTGGGATGGGAGGCCCGGCAGCTGCTCGAGCCGTCCGGCCCCTCCTCCTACTACCCCGGCCTTCCCGGGCCAGGCGCCCCCACGATCCCCTGCGGGACCGCGAAGCCGGCATTTCCTGGCGCTGCCGGACCGGTGGCCCAGAGCCCCAGTTCCTGCCACGGGTACCCGGGCCCTCCTCCCGCGCCCCCAGCCAGCGAGGCGGCCCTCGGGGGTTAGCAGCTGCGAGCTCGCTGCGCCCTGCTCCTGCGGCCAGCGGGGAGCGCGGTCCACGCGGCAGCAGCTCCGATGCCCGCCCGCCAGGGAGCGCTCCGGCCCGGGCCGCGCGGCTGCAGGGGGGCCAGGAGCGCGCTGGGAAGGGGACTTGCCCTCCACTCTGAGTCCCGAGGTGCCTCCCAGCGCGCCGCGGAGCCGTAAGGCCGCCCGAGCTTCCTGATGTCCCGGACGCCGCGACACTCCCTTCCCCTCGAGGGGCGCTGCTCCGCTCTGGGAGCCACTGGCCAGGGGTGGCGTCTGCCCAGCCCCGGGATGCCGCTCCGCTGGCCAAGCAGACGGCGGGGATGAGAAATCCTTTGTGAAGAGTGGCTAGAGGGCTCCACCGCGGGGAAAGAAACGCTTCCCAGAATCAGCTCCGGCTGCGCCTTGGGGAACGTGCACCCCGCCCCCCAGCCCGAGTTGGACCCTCCACCCCAATTCTGGGGCATTGTCGCAGTAACTGCTGCCATGTACAGACCACGCGAGAGAGCTGACTGCTTTTATACTAATGATAAAAGAAGTATGGTGCTCAGATTGGTTTGGTGGCTTGTGTCGTTAGAAGTAAGGTTGTGCGCTGATTCCAAATCCTTCCTCCAGGTTGCATCCTGCTCTGGGCTGGGAGGCTCCTTGCCTCCTGGAGAAGGGGGCAGGGGATGGGAGACTGAGGGAGAGGTATCTATGCCCCAGGCTCTCTCCTGGCAGGGTCATGGAGGGCTGGCTGCTTCCCTCCCCTGGAAGTCCCGGCTCCTGTCAGGAAGTCCTCTCCACATCGCCGGGCCATCGCCCGGTGCTGACAGGACTGTACCCCTCGTCCCTTCAGGCCTAGGGTGGTCAAGACCGTTTCCCTTACCAGAGCCAAGGCACTGTGCTGTTCCTGCGTGTCCTTTCCTCCTCCAGCACCTTTGTAAGTAGACCTTTTATTATACTTTCCTCCAGCTCCCCAGTGGAAGGGGGTGGCGCCTTCCCTGCCAGGTCCCTGACACATGATACAATAGCACTGCATAGATTTCCTAATCTGCTCAAATTGCATAACCCCTCTGAGCCTCAGTACCACTGTCCGTCAGTGGGCCTCAATTTGTCCTCTCCTGAAAACACCGCCAGCCCCTGTGTCCCTCGCGTATACTTTCCCAGCACTGGAAGTCCTCCAGGCCATCTCTGTCTTTAACTTTCCTGGCCTGAGCCGCTGAGTTGATGGAGGAACGCATGTGGCAGAGATGACTGGTCCCAATTTCATTTTCCCACCACAGACTTCCTATGGACGCATAAAGGTGGCCTGCAACCCTCCTAAGTGTCTCCAGGAAGCCCATTTTCCCAGTCTCTGAAACAAGCCTTTCTTAACCTGCTCTCCTTACAAGAGACAGCATTTCTCAAAGTTTCTTTGAGAACATAGTCACTGATTGGGGATTGTCTTCACCTTGTACCACCAAACCTACACGCCACAGGCACCTCCTCAAACCCTTCTTCCCCTTTGTCACAGTGGCGGAAGCTACAGGCTAGCCCTGACAGAGAGTGACCCCATTAGTGTTCTGCATCTCAGCCTTTCTCGCCTGTGAGCACCTCCCCATCTCCTTGTCCCTGAGTCATCAGTCTCCCTGTTGTGGACACCAATGTGTCACCAGG